CTCTACGACTCACCCCATCTTCCCAGTCAGGCTCTTCAGGGCTGTTTCATATCTCTTTCACCAAGAGGGTCTCTCTTCTAACCTTCCTAAACAAATATCCACCCACTTTCAGGAAGCCCCTATGCACAGGAGGTGATTGCTGGATTCATCCCTTCTCCTGCCAATAACTTATGACTGTAAGTCTGAGTCACTGTCTGCAATGAAGCCCTGAGAGTGGAAGACTCGGCTGCAATAGCCATAAATGTCCCAGTTTGGTAAACTGTCCAGGAAAGCAGGGCTTTGTTGTGGTTTCAAAGGCAGGTCCAGGAAGGATGTGTTCAAGCTGGGTCTTCTGCCCCATGTGAGTTGCAGGTATTTGCTGTCCTGATTTTTACAGCTGGCTAACTGGTTAGACCACATGCATGCACACACACCTCCAAAGGACTAACATCCATGCTCAGTCTAAAGCCATAATGAGGAAGGGAATATTTTCCTAATACTGACTCAGGCTTCTCAAGAAGCTTCACTCACCTCATGAAGTCACAAGATTATAGAGATATAGAAGTGTTTGCTTCCTTTCATTCCTCCCCCCGGCCTCCTTCCTAATTGAGCCCTTTCAGATTCCCAGGAACAAGGGAAAAGCCAAATGCAGGGTCATACACCTGAGATCGTCATCTTCCAGGAAGGGGGTAAGGTCAGAACTTCCACGTCCCACTCCTTTTTGTCAAAGAAAGCTGAATTTAGCAAAGGGGTGAGAGAGAGTAACACCAGGCCTACATGAGTCACCAAGTAAAATCCCTGTGTGGTCCAACATATAGACAAACAAGCAACTATCTTACTATATACCTGTCTGTATTCTCCAAATTTTTAAACATAAGCCAAGGCTATTTAATGAGCACAAACATGAATCACACTTTTAAAAATGGACCATTATTCTTCCCATCCACATATATTTCTGCCAAAGAAAACCAATTTAGGGATTACCTAAAGTTCTGGACTTACAGTTATTTTTTTCCTTTTATCCATATGACTTACAACTGTTTTTCAAATATAGTGTCTGGAGTCAACTGGAGGGCTTATTAAAATTGTTGCCCCTGCCCACTCTGTTCAGGTCTCAAATGGGTTCATCATCCACCATTAACCTAAAGCAGGCAGTTGGTCCTTCCACAGTTAACTCTAGGTGCTCTCCGCAGACAGTGGAAGCTGGTAGAACTGTAAACATTATGCCCATTCCTAAATAGTTAATCAGCCCTTCCAGAGGGCCATACTTTCAACAGGAAAAATAGAATCTATTCTAAGAAGTAACCATATAATTAGGAGGTTATAACTACACCGTGGAAGGAAACACAATGAGAGAGAACAATGGATGTTGTGGATTAATTAGCAATACAATATTGAGCTTTGTGCAGTTACAGAGTGATAAAACAAGTACGTCAGACTAGCTCACAAAACACTTATGGATTTCTGAAGCTGAATAAAACCACTGGGTTTAAGGTTAAATCTGAAATCTTGGTTACATTACTCAAAGGAGCATAACCATTGCATACAATGTAACTGTTCTGGTATTTTTCTTTGCACTCTATTTACAATGCTCAGGAAGAATTTTAAAATGAATAAACTAATTATTATATGGGTGCATATGTCTCTTATTGATTTATTAAGTAAAATTTTACTGACGACTGAGAACAAAAATACAAAGATGGTTGAGACAAGCCCTCGAGGTCACAGTGCCTACAATGTAGTGGAGGAGATGAAGGAAAATAAATCAAGGTTAGGTGACAAAATGGAGACAAGGTATACGGTACAGGTGAAGAATTCAAGAGGAAGTTACCTTAGGGAGGTCAGAGGAGACCCAGATTGAACTGAGTCCGGAAGACATTGTTTGCCAAGGGGTGAAATGGAAAAGGAGAGAGAGAAGAACTAAAGGAACATGGAGGTGTGAATTTGTGTGGCAAGTAATTTGGATTGCTAGGATATGCAACATTAGGGGACACTGGCTGGTAGCTAATCTGGAAAGAGAGACAGAGGTCAGTTCATGTTTAAAACTTAGACTTTATCCTGAAGGCACTATGAATCCATTCAGGATTTTTAGCACACATATTGAAATATAATTCGCTTTAAAAAAAAAAAAAGTGAGGAGGCAAGGAAGATGGATTGGGGAAAATAGAGAGAGGAGATTCTTCTGGAAGGGAAGATGGAAGTGGAGGGTTCATATTCAGAGGTGTCTAAAGACAGGGTGACAGTGCCAGTGAGTAGCTAGATAACAGAGGAAAGGCGGGTAGATGAATCTAGGATAACATCTATATTTGTGGTGTGCATAGCTGAGAAGATGGGGTTACCAGCAACAAAGCTCAGAGCAATTACAGCTCCTGAGTTCTGTTTGGGACATATTGGTTTCAAGTTTCCTGAGGGTCATAGCAATTGAGATATTTGGTATATTACATATAAATGTCTGAACTCAGGGAAATGTGAAAAGGAAGTTATGGTTTGGAGCAAAGTTAATATTCGAAATATTGGTGTGAACAAACAGTCAGGCATAAACATTGACTAATCATAACAGGTGCCTGATGGATCAGAAAGGATCCCACCAATAAACAACTGGCATGGCCATACGTGCACACACCAACTGAACACCATCTTGGTACTGACAGTCACTGGAGTGGATGAGAGCTCTCAAGTGAGACAACGAGGGAAGAGGCCACAGGACAGAGCACCTACAATTGGAGGTGGTGCAAAGAAAAAGAATCTGGACAAGGAAGGTGAGAAGAAACTGTCAGAGAGGTAAGAGAACCAAGAAAGGTTTGTGTCGTGGAAGCCAGGACCAGAAAACTTCAGAGGGTGAGGAGTAGTAGTATGGACTATTGAAGGGATGTCTTACCCACCCTTTCTCAGGCTTGACTATTTGTGATGTCTACAGGAACCTGAGCTAGTTCAAGAGCAGTGCTCAGAGGTATCCCCAGCAATGAAGTCTGAAAGCTTAGAGATGAGGATGACTCCAGCACAAGTTAGGAGCCTAGGGGGAAGTATTTAAGTAAATTTATTCTTCCCAGAAGTGACCTTTCACTAAAGATGGTGTCTCCAACTTATTGCTTAAGCTGAACTGGGGCTACAGGAGGCAGAAAGGTTGAGATAAAGCCAGCTCTCACTGAAGGTACTTCCCACTGTCACACCAAACCTCACTGGGCGGCCGACCCATCTACCCATCTTCCACCTCCTCAGACAAAATAGACAACTATCCCACTCACCTGCCTTGGCATAATGCAAGGCTCTTTGGGGCATTCCATAACAGGGGAAAAAGCAAGTTCCCCAAACCTGCCTCAAGTGCATCAAAAACAGCATGAGAGCGCTCTGCAGGTTCTCTCGTGAAAGGGAGGCAGGAGAGTCTGAGAGTAAATGTAGAATTTCCCGAATGGAAAAAAAAAAAGAGCATAATATTGCAGAATTATTTGAGAGTGAGGACAAAGATTTAATTAACAGGTGACAATTTAGTGCTCGAGAACAACCTTAAAGTATGTTTATTAAATACTTGGAAAAAAGGAAAGAAGATTTAGGTCTCCTGAAAAAGAAATCAGGCTGAAAAGTTCTTAGAGCTAAAATGTGTTGTTATTAGAGATGCCATAAAAACTAATGTTAAAATATGATTTCTAATTTCAATCTTTTAGGGAAAAATCAGGCTTTGATTCACTTGTAAACCAAATCCTACGCATCCACTCCCCCAACACGAGGCTTTGGCAGGGGCGTCCTGTCCACTTGTCGAGGCCAACGCGCACCTCTAGGGCCCTGCTTCCACCGGCCTCCTGACCTTCGGTATCGTGATGAGAGAGCGCAGCTACAACCTTGGGCAACCCGATGCAGCCGCGTGCGGCAGTCTGGCACTGAGCGGAGCATGCTCAGTCAGGTCCTGACCCACTTCTGCTGGCCCAAGCTCGGGGCAGGGAGTCGGAAGCTCTATTTTGTTTCGTTGGCCAGGGATAGAGAGAAGGAAGCAAGAGACTAAGAGATGCTTAAAGCCTCCTCCTCTCTCCTTGACAGCAGTCTCTGACCCAGCGGCGGATCAGGCCCGGTCAGGCTGCAAGAGCCACAAGCGTCAGGGTGTGTAATCCACCTTTCCGGGTTTTGGCAGCAACCGAAGGAGAAGAGGGCGGTACTGGAGTAAAAGGGTTGTTGGGGGCGTGGTCAAGGGGCGGGCCTAGAGGAGCCAGGGAGGAGGAGCCTGGTCTTGGCCTCTGAAATTGAAGGTCTCTGTCAAGTCAAAAAAAAAGAGAGGGAGGGGGCGCTTACAGTGCAGGGTTGTGCTGCCAGACTTCTGCAGACTGTTTAGAATAACCCACCTTTCTAATTTAAAGAGCACCATATTGTTCATTAGAAAAAAACAAACTACAAATAATGAAAAAACAATAAAATTAAAAATCCCTGGAACCAGTGAACATTGGTTTTTGTTTGTTTTTTTGTTTTCCCAGCCTCGTCTTTGTGGGCTTTATAATTGCCAGCAGAGTCATCCGGGAAAGCCTGCGGAGCTTTTGTCGCAAGGCTGCTTGACAGGTGGCCTTGGAGAAAGGGTAGGTTCAGGGGTTGGATGGTTGGTTCTCTCTCGTGTTCCAGGATGGGATTCTAAAAAACCTGTTCCTGGGTGTCCCTGAACAACAGTACGACGCGACGCTCAGAAAAGTTGTGGTGGAAGCCCTAGGTGCGTCCTACCCCTCAATTACCAGTCACACTGCCCAACGTGACAGCATCGGAAGTAAGCCCTCTGCTTCGCTAATAGCCTCAGCACGCTGCAGCGGAGCCCCGGGGGCCGCAAAGTCCCGCCCCAGAGGCTACGCAGACTTAATCGGGGACTCCCAAGCACGCTCAGCCTGCCCCTTCCTATGCGGGAGCATCCGCCGCTCCCACAAGTTCGTCCCGCACCACCCCCCGCCCGTGGCTGCCGCAAAAACCCGGCGGTGACAGCCCGCCCAGCTCCGCGCCTCCGCGCCGCCCGGCGAGTCGCACTGGGCATGCTCCGCACCGGCCGGCTCCGGCTCCTGTAGGTGGGAAGCGCCGCACTCCCGGCCGCCCGCGGTGCAGCCTGCATCGCTGCAAGGCGCCGGCGGAGGCGGCTCGCCCGCGTTAGGCGCTGCCGGGCGTCGGGAGCGGAGCGCGGCTAATAGGCAGCTCTCAGGCGGGCCATGGCGAGGGGCGCACAGCGGCCACCTGAGTGGCGCGGCGGCGTCAGGTTAGCTGGGCGGTCGGGCGCGGCTGGCAGGGCGTCCCGCACCGGGTGGGCGGTCGAGTCGCGGCTGCAGCTGTCGCCGCGGAACTTTCTCGGGTGCCTAGGCTGGCAGAACCCGCAAAGCAGGCTGCGCTCTGGGAGGCGCAGTGAGGTCCCGGCAGCGGGGTCCTCGGGGTCGCAGGATGCTTCGAGATCCGTGCGGGGCGGGACCGAGGGGGCGGGTGGGTTGGGGACAGCCGCTTCTCAGACTAATGCCATAAGCCTCCTATAGTGTGGAGCGCGATGTCCACTGCGCGCTGCTCAAGAGCCTCCCGGGGTCTCCCAGGGGAAGGGGACGCCAGGGTGCGGCGAGAGCCTTCGCTGGAGTCCAGGTCTCTCCAGTCACCGTGCCTCAGTTTCCCCGAAACAGGGAGGAGGGGAGAGAGTATTGTCCCGGCTCCCAAGGCCTTGGGTGCGGGTTTCACGTCTGGGGCCGGGAGGATGCCCCGTCCTGATGCTGCAGGAGTGTGGGAAGCTGCGGGTGCCTCGAGCCACCGCCGCGCGACTGGAGCTCTCAGAGTTTGTCGCATTTGACTCCATAGCAAGTTGACATAGAATTGCTTCATGGTGTGGAAAGGGGAAACGTGCATCATCGAATTTAAAAAAAAAAAAGTAATTGCAGAGCTGACTTATTTTAAGTTCAACCATTAACCTGCCTGCCCCACCAAAAAACTGGAGCTTGCAAGTTGCGAAATTTATAACGCAAGCTGGCAAAAAAAATGAAGGTATTCAGGTCCATTATCTGTACACACAGTAGAAAATAACATATTATGGTTGAATTGCCATTGTTTTTAATGATACTTGTTACAGAAAAGTTTGGTTACTGTAATAATCTTTATTTTGTTTTATCTTAGCTTTTATATTAAGAACTTGGGAACCTAGCATTGCAGAAGCACGGTGTTTTTTGTAAAGTTTTCTCACTTTTGTTTCTAGATGAAACATTTTTTTTAGTTGCTACTATGCTGAACATAATAAAATAGTTCAAGATGAAATGCAAGATGGAAGATTTATTTTTCAGAAGAGCAAGTTAGAACAATGTAGTTCTACTGGCATTTTACTTTTACCAAAAAAAATTTAAAAAAAGGACAATTTGTAAGTCCTTCCGCAGTTACTACTGCTGATTCTTCCTAAAACATTTCGTACCATTACCACTCTTAGGATTATTGCATCTAATAAAGAGCAAGGTAAACAATCCTTGTTCTAGTGAGAAATACTTCTACCTCTAACTAAAGCTATATTCTCAAGCCTATTTCTATAAGTACCACTTAGTGGACTTAGTTGTTTTATTTATTAAGCTTATTACAAAACTTCTTGTTTGCATTCTTGATAGACCTTAATAGACTTTCGAGGTGCTCTGACTTTTCATTGGGTTGTGAATAGCTTTTACTGTCTGTTCTTGCCTGTGATGGCTCCAGTTGTAATCTCAACTACTCTGGATGGTTTCCCCAAGCTGGCTGTATGTTATGCCCATACATAACAGAGATTTAATAACAGGAAAAGCTTGAAATGTCTGGACAACAATAGCAACAACATGATTTCTATTTCTACAAGTTAGCCCTGCAGTCCTCCATTTTAGCCAAATGGTTCAGTTGGTGGTGTCCTAAACTTGTTTCTAAATATATTTATAGAACATTGTAGACATTTGAAAAACTCAACACAAATATTGGGAAATCGTACTTTCCTTTTCTATAAAAATGCATCAAGTTCACAATCTGCCATGAAGTATTACAGGTATGTACCGCTTGTCAGTACCGCAGGCCCAGGGCTCTCAAGCTGCATTCCCAAGTGGAAGTTAATGCCATCTCCCCTAGCCCTTGGGTTTGTCCCCACCCAGAGGAAGCAAGTGAGCCTTAGATTCCACTTTGTGAATGTGAGGTTTGATACAGATCCATAGGCCCTTTCTGAATCTAAGTACCCTATTTTTTTTTTTTTTCAGTTAGGAAAGATAATGAAATTTAACAAAAGATATATTTAAACAGCATTCTTGGCTTCAAGAACTTCACATTCTCCTAACCTAAAACTAGCAACACCAACAGGATTTAGATTGAAGAGGGGTTTTATTATTGCTGATGAAGAAAAAATAGAAAAGTAGACTGTAGTCAAATTAGGAAACAGGTAATAATTTCTTCTCTTTTGTACTTAAATGTTGGGTTCTTGCAGCTCAACTGCTAGGCACATAATTTTTGGTTTTATATCTGTGTCTTTGGATTTTTATTTTGTGTAGCGTTGTTAGTGACATTAGCTATTCATGGCAAATGATTGCCTTTAAAAATAGATTTTCCCCATTCACGTGACCTAAATCTATTCAACTTCTTGTTTGGTTTATAATTTAAATATTTGAGGCCATTTAAACTTTACTTAATTTGTACTTTTTTTTTTTTAATGCAAGAACTTCCAGATACTGAAATACCAAATAAATATTGTAGAAAAGTTGCTTTTAACCTCTAACACAGTACAGTCAGATTTGTTAGACGAGTGTTATTATTTTTTTTTTTCAGAGTTCATAAATCATGCAGATAACATCCCTTCCTGACTTCTACATCTAACCAAGCACTTGGGGTGTGGCCTGCCCTTTTCTAGCCACACCCGGGAGAAAATTTAAAATTCTGACATTTCGTAATCCTTGGCAAATCACATTAAAGTTAGAAATGTCCTTAGATGAAAAAGGGTTGGTTTTAAGTGTGCTCCAGTTCCTCCCTGAAAGGGTTAAAGGATAAGGGGTTTGGTTGATTATGTAATAAGAACCAATTAAGAGCTGTCAGAACTAGTTTCTAAATTGTACTCAAAATAGAAGTCCTGTGAATTTATTGGTCTTGCTTCTGCCTCCACCTGAGGTCTTTACTCTTTAAAATATCACATTCATTTTTCTTCCTTACAATCTCTTATAGTTAGGCCCCTGAGGCTGCAGAAATGAGTAAGACACAGTGACTCACAATCCAGTCAGAGAAACACGCTTAAGGACGAATAAACTATACTGCAAAGTAAGTGCTGCAGGAGAGGTGGCTGTACATGGGACTGAGGAGACTTAGGAACGAGCCCCTTGGTTTGGAAGAAGAGGGGCCTCATGAAAATAGTAGCGTTTCCATAGAACTTTAAGGAATGTCTAAGAAATTGAGTAGGAGTCTTCTAAGCAGAGAAGTAGATTTTCCAGGCAGAAGGAGCACCATTATGCCCCAAAGATATTTACTTTAGAACTTTGCAGATGTGATTGAGTTGAGGCTCTTGAGATTAGAAAGATTTTTTCAGGATTATTCAGTAGGCCCAGTGTAATTACAAGGGTCCTTATAAGTGAAAGGGAAAAGTCAGCATTAGAGTGATGCCATGTGAGAGACTTGACTGGCCATCGCTGGCTTTGAAGATAAAAGAGGTCCATGAACCAAGGCATGCGGGTAGCCTCTAGAAGCTGGCACAGGCAAGGACACAGAAGCTACCCTAGAGCTTCCAGAAAGAACACAGCCCTGCTACCTCTGTGATTAGCTCATTATAGCCCATGTTGAACTTTTAACCCAAAGAACTAAAAGATAGTAAATGTGTTAAGTCACTAAGTTTGTGACTTAAGTGCCATAGAAAGAAGCCATAGAAAGTTAATATAACCACCTACAAAGAAGGATTTGGTGTGATGGAATAATAGGCAGGGGCAAAAGAAGGATAATGTAGTGGTCCTTTCATTGTGAGGAACTTGTTGTCATGCAAAGGAGTTTGGATTTTATCCTATTACATATAAACAATGGGAGAGCAGCAAAGGATTTGAAACAGGAACATGCAATGAACAGACTGCTGCCAGATTCATCTCCCTAAAAAAAGCAATGTATAGCTAAATTTCAAGTTTCACAGGGCAATTCAACAAAGGATATCTAACCAGAGGTGGTCACTGATAGATAGAGATCTGGAGTGAGCATATTGTATAATTCGGTCTCTGAATTGATCTGAAATGACATTTGTAGACATATATGAATTAATAGCTTAAGAAAACTTTTATTTAAAATTCCTAATAGAAGGAGAACATGGAAAGTAAAGCACACAGGCCGTCACATTTTGACTACTTTGCTTCTGCCCCTTGTCTTAGCAGACAGCTGCTCTACTGGCTACATACCATGCAGACATGAGCAGAGGGCTGTGAAAGCTCACATTTAACACAGTTAACTTAAGAATGATGTCATGTCATCTGGGCCAACTCTGACCAGTTGGTAGGAGCTGCTTGCAGTGCTGTGGGCTAATAAAGGCTTAGCTGAGAACTCGCCATGATCTATTAGCAATGTTTGCCATGAGCTTCATATTTGCCAGGGGATGGGTAACAGCTATAATACTAGATGACCTAACTTATGCATTTAAATATAAGGAATTTAGTCATTCTTTCCATACATATTTATTCAATCTCTTTTAGGTACAAGGGCTTAATACTTGTCCTTTAAAAACTTATAGTCTAGTTGAATTGACATCTCCGTGTATCTGGATCACCTAAACTGAAGAAATCTCCCACCTTAGTGTTACAAGACTGGCTCTGAATTGAAACTGAACTATATGTTAGAAAAAATGAGTAAGAGAAAAATTTTTTAGACAACATGGTAAAGGAGGCTAGAAAATCTGATACTGGAAACAACAATAAGACTAGATTAAGATTTATCTTAATAAAAGCAAAACCATGTACCTATATTGTACAACTTTCATTTGCATAACTTTGTAAGATTTTTACCCAAACTTCTCTATATAATGATGCAATAATTATTGTTTTCCACTGCAAAGAAAGAGCTCAGTATAAACCGTTCCTCTTTTTTGAACCTCTTCTGCCTTGGTCTCTGGGATATGTGCCCTCAGTTTTTTTCCTTTGTTTGTTTTGCATTTGTTTGTTTGTTGTTGTTGTTGTTGTTGTTGTTTAATTGCTCTTTCCCCAAGGGTTCTAACTTGCATCTTCTCATCTTGTGGCCCACTTTGTTCTTTCCAGGTGATTTAATTTTTCCTCATGA